CGGCCTGCAGACCCTGGAGCCCAGCGGCCTGCAGACCCTGGAGCCCAGCCGGGCTGCAGACCCTGGAGCCCAGCGGGGCTGCAGACCCTGGAGCCCAGCGGCCTGCAGACCCTGGAGCCCAGCCGGCTGCAGAGTGCCTTCTGGAAGCTAAAATTAACAGGTAGTAGAAGGGCCGGCAGGCCTGAGCAACCCACTCGCTCTCACTGAAGCCGGGGATTTCAGAGCCAGGCCAAAGCCAGGAGTCCCTAGCTAGGTGAGGCTCCCCGCTCTCCCAGGCCAGGATGGGGAGGGGTGGCAGGCGGCTGCCCGCAGCCGTGGGAAGGTCAGTCCACCTTCGGGCGGGGCAGCGTGGGGGCAGGGGGAAGGGTCAGCGCGGGGAACACTGCCGGTCCCACGGAGGCCCAGCGGACTCGTGGCTGGAGCAGGCTGCCCGGCGGGGTGTGTCTGTGTCTCAGGCGCTGCCTTCTTTGGAAGACGCTGCGGTTGGAGGGCGGCTTGCCATCCGCACAGGCCCCATCCTTCCCAGAACTTCCTCCGGCCTCCCACCCAAGGCCCTGAAAAGCCATGGGAGACCAGAGAGTGGCTCGGGTCACTGCACGCACACCGCGCTGGGGGCTTCTAGCCAGGCTGGCATCAGCAGCTGGCTGGTGGTCCCCACGTCTCACCGGTGACCCCCGCCCCCATAGTTGTTAGGGAGCAAGAATTGGAGACTGGAAGTGAAGGATGGACTCCCGCCACAGTCCAAGCAAGACCGCAGTGCGCATGCACAGGCTGACCACGCCCTGTCCCCCGGCCGGTGATCCCAACCCCGGCCTGGCCCCACGTCCCCTCACCCGCCTGGCCCCATGTCCCCTCACCCCAGTGGGACTTTCCATCCTGGCCCTGGCCCCGGTCATCACAGCCTGAGTTTTACTCCTCTGGCTCCCGTTCAGACCCCTGTAAACCCAGCACCCGAATCTGGTCCCTCGTGCAGCTTCCGACCTGCGGGACGCCTGTGCCCCGGCCTTCCCCAATCATCGCCTCACCGCCGGCCATACGATCAGCCCGGCCTCTCCCTTCCCTTCTCCTCCATTTTCCTAACAGGAAGGAATCGGCCTCCACTGCTGCTCCTGGGTGATGTGGAAGGAGGCAAGCCCTTCAAGGCGGGTAGAGAGACAGAGCTGAGAGGTGAAGCTGGCCCGGGAACATTCTAGAGCCCCCTGCAGTCCTAGATCGCCTCTCTACCCTTACCCTCTACCCACCCAGAGCCACTGCTACAGAGTTGGGGCTTCTGGACACCCTGACAGCCTGCTCCCAGCGCCAACACACGGAGCCACAGAGGAGAGCCACAATTTGGGGTTTCTGCAAGGGGAGACATCGATGCTTCTTTCTCTTCTCTCCCTCTCCCTCCTCTCCATCTTCCTCCCTCTCTCTCTTTTTCTCTCTCCATCTCCCTCTCTTTCTCCATCTTCCTCCCTCTCTCTTTCTCTCTCTCCCTCTCTCTCTTTTTCTCTCTTCCTCTCCTCCCTCTCCCTCCCTCTGTCTCTCTTTCCCTCTCCCTCTCCCTCCCCCCCTCTCTTCAGTCTAGGGTCTTGAACTCAGGGCCTGGGCACTGTCCCGAAGCTCTTCAGCTCAAGGTTAGCGCTCAACCACTTTGAACCACAGCGCCACTTCCGGTTTTCTGGTGGTTCATTGGAGATAAGAGTCTCACAGACTTTCCTGCCTGGGCTGGCTTTGAACCGTGATCCTCAGAGCTCAGCCTCCTGAGTAGAGTAGCGAGGATGATGGGCATGAGCCACTGGCGCCTGGCTCACAAATACACTTACATAGGCTGAAAGCAGGCTGTCCACAGGGTGAGAAGCACGGATGGCGTTGGCGTTTAACCTGAGCCCTTACGGAGAGGCTGCCAGACCCAGCCTCCAGGGCTGAGGTCATCTGCGAAGTGGACAGTCCTAATGACGCGTGTCCTCAGATCTGTGAGCCCGTCCCCTGTGGCCTCCCGTGGCCTGCACTGGGCTGCTACCCCTCCACCGTCTGTAGACGGCATGTATGGACTTTACCCTCCGTGACTGAAAACTACTTGCTCCTTTCAAGGGTGCTTAGAAGTAGTTCCGGCCAAAGAGAAGTCTCAAAAGCTGCTCAAGGACCCGGACTCCCACCGTGTTGGCCACCTCTGTCCCTCGCTGTGTCCCAAAGCTGAGCTGCCTTCACTGGGTCAGGGTGGCCGCAGGGCTTAAAGGACCCGGCTGTGCCCAGTGACAGTTCTCCACAGAGCTGACTTGTGTGGGGTCTGAGATCTGGGGC